CTCATATTTATTGTCATTTTGTAAACCATATCCTTCTCAATTAACTTGTGTGTATGGGCTTCCTTCTAGTTTTTGGTGCTGCTCTTCACTTTTATATGCCCTTCCTGAGAATCAAGACATATTTAACAACGGACATCAAGTAAGGTATTTGTTTTCAACAAATCTGAAAGCTGTTAGGAAAGAGATGATAATGGTGAGGTGAGCAGTTTCTTTACATTCTGATGAAGAATGATAGGGTAATATAGTATCTGAGTTTCAGGGCTGGTTCTGCCCCTCATCAGTGTTTAGATCAGGGTATTTGGTTTCTCTGTTCTTCTGCTCTTATTTGTAAGATGGGAATAATTGTAGTATATAATTTAAAGGGTTCCTGTAGATACTATGTTTAATTCTGTGACAAGATTAACATGTTCCTGGCATACCATGTCAGGCTAGAGAATAAATGAATTTGAAGTAATTAGAAAATAATAAGGAGTTAGTGATGAGGTATAAAGTGAACACTATTACCATCAATATTAATGCCATCTAACAGTGAGGACTGACTTTGTTTTTTATACTCCACTAAACACTGTAAAAGCATTATCTAAATTTCTATTGTACTTCACCAAGAGAGATACAATTTTCTTCATTTTATATGTAAGGAAATGAGCCTTTTAGTGTTAAGTAACTTAACTGGTAAGGCTGGGGTTTGAAACATATTTTATTTATTCATACTGTAGAAAGATCATTATCATGTAGAATAGTCAATAGATTTCTCAGTGTCACAGGCATGATTCAAGACTTTGTAAGCAAAAATAGGGTGGAAGAATTGAACAGGTGGAGGCTTGAAGACATAAGCCTGAGAGTTCCTCCAAAGTTAACATAAGGAAATGGTTAACAGAACACAAAGAGAGGTTGGATAGTAAGAACCCAGACAAGGTGTGCCTCTGGTGACCTAAACAGTAATGGTTTGTTTTTCAGTAGAACTTCTTTAAAACTTCTTGGGAGAAAAGTGTGATCTTATTTAGTAAATTCATGTAAACTCAATTTTAGATTTAGTTTAGATTCAAGAAAGGAAAAAAGTGGGAAAATGAATTGAGATTTCATGCGAATGATGCATCTCTTCAGAAACATTTTTCCTTTGAGCTTCTTGTAGATTCTTTCATTCAGGGGGATATGGAGGATTCTAACACTGACATCTTTTCCCCTTACCTTGCGCTCAGAGTTCTTCCTCTAAAATCAGTATCCAGTTGTGTGTGGGTTGCTCCACTCCACCAAGATAGCTCTTGAAGATTTATTTATTTATTATTTTTAAGTGTGTGTGTGTGTGTGTGTGTGTGTGTGTGTGTGTGTGTGTGTGTGTAGGTGATTTTAGAGGCTAGGGAAGTCAGCTCTCTTGGAATTGGAGGTACAGGTAATTGTGAGCATCCAGAAATGGACGCTAGGAATAAAATTCAGGTCTCCTGGAACAACATGTACTTAATTGCTAAACTGTGTTTCCAGCCCTGAAAGATATCTTTGTATAGTCATTGACATTCACTGCTATTCCTACCAAGACAGGGCTCATATCTTTGATACTCTTAGCCAAGAGACATGGTTTCCTTGTGTTATATCAGGGCTTATGAGAGTCATGCCTGCATTGGGCCACTTCTTTACATAGAAGAAAGAAATATTCTTAAACAACCTTGTGCATC